GACGGACAGACTCAGGAACTCACAGATGGTCGGACATGTATCCTAACATGTATGATCTATGTACTAAATTTGAATGAAAACTGACAAAGCATGTCCAAAATACAACATTTTCAAAAAACAAGATGGCTGCCAGTCGGCCATCTTTGATCCAATTGTGAAATAAATCGTGATGGACATGTATCCTAACATGTCTAATCTATGTACCAAGTGAATGAAAACTGACAAAGCATGTCCAAAATACAACATTTTAAAAAAACAAGATGGCTGCCAGTCGGCCATTTTGAATCGAATCGCTAAACAACTGCATGTGCATATGTCCCACATAAAGTACTAGGCACATGCAAAGAATGAATGGAATCGGTCCAAGGGATTCTGAGATATGACTCTGGACAGATGGACGGACGCACGGACGCACAGACGGAGACCAAATTATAAGTCCCCGTTTTCGGACTTCGTCCGAACGGGGACTAAATATAACTGCAAGCAATGATCTGGGGGGTTCCAAGTAGCTATGGTTTAACAATTATATATATTTAATGAAATAATGACCATATATGATGACTTGATATTTTGGTCATTTATCTTGTCAGACAAAATTATTGCACCAGTTGCATGTCCCTATCTGCAACAGTTCTTACCGTATATCACATTTCAACCAAAAACTATGCACATTATGCCAGGGCATCTATGTACCACATTGTAATGTGATGATTAGTACTTGAGATATCAGTGGAAAAGCCAAAAAATTGCTAATCATTATGCAAATAAGGTAATTATTTTGCATACATTTTTACCCGAAAATAATCAGGTTCGTGAATTTATAGAGCATCCATGGACCAAGTTTCATTGTAATGTGATGATTAGTACTTGAGATCTGTAGAAAAGTCGAAAATTGACAAATCATTATGCAAATTAGGTAATTAATATGATGCATCAGGTTTGCACATTGTCCCATAGCATCCATGCACAAAATTTCATCAAAATCCAATGTTGTTTAGATATATGTATCCATGGAGAGTAATTTGTTAATTATCATGCAAATTAGGTAATATTAATATGCAGAGGATTTTGACCAAAACCCAGAGCATCTAAGCGTCAAATTTAATCAAAAACATATATGTGGAACTGACGGACGAACACACGCACACTTTCACGATGTACCATCGTTGTGACAACTTTTAATACAGTTAAATTTTAATATAACTTTTAATATAGTTGCGATATGAACTTGATTAAAACGTGTTCCTATATACGGTAGTTGCGTTTTAATTGGAGTTTAATTGAACTCAATTAAATGCAATACAACATAGAATTACGAAGAATAGAATTAGAAGTTGAATATCCTGTGACATAATATATATCAATATTAATATAAAATAAACCATAACTTCCCCCTTTACTAAACCTAAGCTACTTAACTTAAATTCAATTAAGTATTGAAATAAATTATAAAAATAGTGAGGATCGTCACATTTTAGGTCCTGTCATCACAAATTGGTGTAAAGTTAAATTGAAGTAGTCACAACCTAGTAAACAACACACACACATACACTGAGTATCTGGCACCAACTGCATGAAGTGTTTCGGCGATGAGGACGAGGTACCGTAAGAAGTTCACACATTTTTGGACTTTGTTAAATAAAAGAACCATCTTGACTTGGTTACTTTCCATGGTCAGTCAAGTAATGCCTGTTTTCAATTATTTTCATTTAACCATTTCCTCGTAGTTTGTGTTTTTCAGAAGCTATTTTCACAGTCAGTCAGTCAGTGATGCTTTTTGTTTTGTCATTAGTTTGTGTTTTGTCCAGGCTATTTTTATGGTAATTACCTGCTTGTGTTTTCCACTCATATCTCCTGTTACATATCTCTTAAATCAGTATAAATGAAATCAATCACATCTAAAAACATTATAGTATGTACACAAGTTTCTTTGTTCTAAACAACGCTAACGACTTAGTACTAATCATACTCTAACTATTCAGTAAACAGAAGTACCGGTATAGTGCTTTAACGTTCAAGTATTGCATAGGTATATTTACCGGGCTGCCTTTCACAGAGTCGATATAGAATTCTGCTATATACCCTATATATAAAATATGTTTTTTCGTCGCCGGAGTGATTTATATTGTAAATTTTGGTTCCCCAAGCGTCTCTAAAAAAATCACCTATTTATTAAAAAGTTATTAAGGATATTTTTGATGGCAGGAATAATGTTAATTTGCTAAGTACACTACATATGTCTTCTACACACAATGGCTTAGAGACCACTCTTGTTAACCAACATGACATTGCTAATGGGTTTAACCAGTTTTTTGTCTCAGTTGGGGAGACACTTGCTAATAACATAAATCATTGCACTAAATCATATCATTCCTATCCACCAAAATCCTTACCACAATATTTCTTTCTTCATGCAACCTCTGAACAAGAAATATTTCAACTACTAAAGGCACTTGATAAAAATAAGGCTGTGGGGTATGACTACGTAAGTCCAAAACTGTTAATTTATGCCGTGGAGTACATTTCTCGACCTCTCAATCATATTAATTAATTTATCGTTTTCAACAGGTGTATTCCCAAATTCTTTAAAAATTGCTAAAGTGACTCAAAAAAGGAGTACCTAGTGATCCAGGCAATTACAGACCAGTATCAGTATTACCACAGATTAGCAAAATACTGTAAAGGGGTTAATTATTCACCAAGTTTTAATTTTGCTTATTTCGCTGACTGGAAAATGCGCTAAATTAAAACCCAGTGAATATGTAAAATTTAGCATAGAACACAATGACGAAACCGTGAATTTAAAACCCACTGAATATGCCTGAAATGGTAAATCAGTGAAATTTAAACCCAGTGAATATTAGTCATTTTACAGTATTTGAGAAAATAATTAACAAACAAATGATCTATTGTACAATCATCAATATGGGTTCCGGGAGAGATACAGTACTAAGATAGCAATTGCGGACATACACAGACAATTCTGCAGGAAATTGATATGGGTAATGGGGTGATTGGTATATTTTTGGACTTTAAAAAAGCATTTGACACTGTGAATCATGATATTCTAATTAGCAAACTAGACAATTACGGTTTTCGGGGGATGCCTAAAAATCTCTTTAGAAATTACTTAACAAACAGGAATCAACATGTCAATATTAATAGGATGCAGTCAAATGAACTACCAATTACTTGCAGAGTTCCCCATGTCTCTGTGCAAGTGCCACAGATTACTAGTATTTTGACACTCATTTATTTGCAGACGACACCAGCCTATTTCATACCTTCAATTCAAAAAACACAATAGATCTTTCAGATATAAATTCTCATTTAAACAATGTTATAGACTGGTGCGATACAAATAAATTAACAATAAATTCCCCAAAAAACTGAATACATTATATTTAGAGGTAAACAGGCATCAATACATTCAACGGGTACAATTAGTATAAAAGGGGTAACAATAGATGAAGTTAAAACAACTAGGTACATTGGTGTTGAATTGGACAATAACCTTGACTGAAAGAACCACATACAGAAAGTAAACAAAACAATAAGTAGTAAAGCAGGTATTCTTTTCAAGTTGAACAAGGGACATTATTCCAACATCTATTCTTTTACTATTATATAACTGTTTCATCCTACCACATATTTCTTATGCACTAGAAGTTTGGGGGAACACATACTCAACTTACCTGAAACCCATACATCTCACACAGAAAAAAATTATTAGAGTTGTACAAACCCGTTTGTTTACCTAATCATACCTACCAGAAAATTTGTGGAAATAATAAATTTCATTTATTACTCGTTAAGCTTAATTACAGATTACAGCCCCAAACTGAACTACTAGAGAATATACCTGGGTCCAAAAGAAAGACCCTAGTGTAATGTGAGCTAAGTAAAGTTGGCCATTGAGGGCGCTCTTTAATCTGTAATATTTTTTTGATTATTTCTACTGACTTTTTTTGATAATGTAGACATGTATTTAAACCATTTATTTAAGATGTATGATTTGTGTATTTTCAGTAATTTAAATTATTAGTTATCGTGGAATTTGCCAAAAAAGGCACACATGAGTGACTAGAAGTAATTTGCATATTTCCCATGAAACTTAGCACTGAGAAGTCAGTTGGGTCAGTAACATCACTGGACTCGTCTGAGGAGCATCTCGTCTATTCACCTTCTGACCACTGAACCATTCAGCCCGGAGTTGGTTTGCGAATGTTCAGAGTCCAGCTCATTTCAACGGTGTAGAAAGTTTTAACTCCTACAAGCCAAACTGAGTGGAATTTGTTAGATTTGACCAACTGACGGGGTATGTAGATTGTTTCTATTGTTCTGGCCATGTGCTTCAATGACCATGCAAACCTTTGTTCCTGACATGTGCTTTAACTAATCTTTTGTTCGCTTTCATTGAATGGCAACTCCAGTATTAGTGTGAAATGTATTTTTTTTTATTTGAATTATCGTTAATTTTCTCAATGTAAATTATTGTATTTTCATCTCTTTTAGGTTTTTAGTTCCTGTAATTTACAGTGTCGCTCTCTTGTGTAATCTTGGTAAATAAACTCTGTACGGGAATTCGTTGTACCAGATAATTATACCTCTGTCGTCCATACTTATTTATCCATTGGTCACAGTAACATTTTTTAGAAAAAAGGCCTCGCCTAAGGGTCACGCACAGGGCGATCATGCACCAGAGGCCTGCCAGTTCCAATTCTCACAAATGTTCCGCTGCACAACAATGGCCGCTCGGAAGCTTGTGGCGAGGTGGGCAGGTTCCACGGGTTTTCTTGTAGGTATGACAAACGGGTAAACAAACAGGTTTGTACAACCCTAATAGTTTACTACATCAGCTATATTATAGAGTATTTCTTATGAGAGCATATAAACAGTATACTTGTATGAAATTACAATTTTTAGTTTTCAAATCTATGTCATGAACCTTCAGAATATGTGAAACAATTCACAGATAAGGATTTTCAATATATTATTACCTTTTTGAAGTTCTAAGAAACATTTACGATATTGCCATCTTTCAATTGTAGTTGTCAAGACGATCTTAGAAGCACCACATTCTCTCAAAACATCTTCTGAAACAATGTCCTCCTGAAAGATTGAATTGATTTTCCCCTCTCTGTAGTCCTGCCACAACCGTTTCAGAGCCGATAATGATAAGCATTCTACGACAACAACCAGACATTTATGGTCAATGTGTTTACAGATGATATCACCAATGTCATCAAGGTACTTTATCATAGCTGGGATATCGTCAATTGTTTTGACTTTACTAAAGAGGCAGCGAGCAATATCAGATAATGCCTGTGCTTTAATCTCCCTCACTGTCTGATCTGTTCGAGCTTCCATCTTTTGGAAAGAATCCACATTCACCTCAATTTCGAGTTCACCTGTTGCACAGAATTATAATAACAGTTATACCCGGTAACACTTTTTGCCTAATGCTCATTATTTTAAGTGTAGAGCACAGTTTTCCATCAAAGAATTCTTGCTTTGTCAGCATTTTCTTGTTTTAAACAGTACGACTTTATAAGTTTACCTGCACGCTAACAACCTACTACTCATACTCTAACTATTCAGTAAACAAAAGTATAGTGCTTTAATT